GTGTGTGTGTGTGTGTGTGTGTGTGTGTGTATTGGCTGGATTGTTTGTATTTCAGTACAAATCTGTTCTGGTCTGCCAAACTATACCTTGTGAAGAGTGTTATTTAGGCTATGCATAAAAGATGCAACAATAGCCTCAGGGTAAAATCAGTCAATACAATTTCATACTTTGTAGAATCAAGGTGTGTGTGGGGAGGGGGTGGTGGTGGTGGTGGTGGCTTCATAAAGTCTTTGTGTTAACATGCAAAAATAGAAACATTTGTTAGTTTTCTTTTACATTGTCACTTCTAAGAATTTATTTCTAGATTATACAAAAAAAAGTCAAGGCGTAGTTTCCCTTCAACATCATCATAATATGTGACAAAGTGGAGCAGACAGACATCAGGTTTTAGGCCTTCTTCACACTGGATTGACTCCACTGGAAAAATAAAATCAGTCAGAATGTGGATGGTTTATGTAGCGTCTCAGTGAGGTTTTCAGGCGCATATTGAAACACAGTGGGTTCACTATYATGTGCGATAAAGTGTGGAGGCTTTGGAGCATGCAGCAAATTTGAGATTGTGGTGGTTTATCAGCGTGGTCACAGCGAATTCAGGTCATGGGTGAAATGTGGCGAAAGCAATAGCAATGCATCTATGACATGGCACCTAGGTGCACCAGCATTACTTTGTCACAAATTTACAGCAGAAGTGGTTGTTTAATCGTGACAAAATCATACAAACAGCCTAGAGCAAACCCAATGCATGTAGCTGAAGCCTGGTGCAGAAATGTTGTGATTTTTTTTACATGTAGCTGCAATGTGAGACAGAGATGGACCAGGATGGGGCCTGGAGCATGGTACAATTGTAAGTGTGTGTGGAAGTACTGGCAAGTGAATCACAGAGATGTAAAAATTGTGGGAACAAACATTTTTTGACACTTAAGACCACAGCATCATGGTTGCCCTCATACTGAAAGAGGTTTTCCAAATAGCTGTGATTCATTCCCAGTCTGATGGTTTGTGTATCCTAAAGACCACAGTAGGACAGTCTTGTTTATTTAGCTAAATAAATACTTTTTGTATTCCTAATGTGTCTTAATGAGTGATGATTGGAATGCTTGTTTGATATTATGAAGAAAATGTAACTATTATTAACATCTGGGGTGGCACAGTTGGTAAAGTTGTTGGCACTCAGGAAGAAAGCTGCCAGATCGAATCCCGGCTGGAGACCTTTCTGGGTAGAGTTTGCATGTGTGGGTTTTCTCCAGGTCCTCTGGTTTCCTTCCACAGACCAAAAATATGAATGTTAGGCTGACTGAAAATCTCTAAATTGTCTGTGTGAGTGGTTTTGTTTCTATGTGGTCCTGTGATGGACTTGCAACCTATTCAGGGTGTACCCCGCCCCTTGCACAGTGACTGCTGAATGTGGGCACCAGTGATCCATGTAACCCTGAAAAGAAGAAACAGGTGAAGATAATGAATGGATAAATAGCCCCAAAAATCAGAACCTTAGTGTCTGTTTTTAATTTTAGTAATTGCATTTCTTGAACTTTTGTCCTGTTGCATTTAGGTATTTCTTATTTTGCTCTTAGTTCTTGTTTTATTCTTCATTATTTTTCCCACTGGGCCTTTTGTTAAGTTTTGCTCTTTCCTATCAGGCTTTTCTTTTTCAGTCACTTCACCTGCTGCTTGATTTGCAAGTCCTAGTATATAAATATATATTCAAGTTTTATTTGCTCTTTGCCAGAACCTTATTTATTACCTATTTAGTGCTAGTTACATATGTGTTCTTAATCCATGTTTTGTTTCTTTTTTATGTTTAAATACCAAATTTTATTATATTTATCTGTATGTTGACCCATACACCCTCCCCTCTGTGACACTGACTCTTGGTAAGAACAGTTTAATAAACAAAACAGCATAAGAAATAATATATAATTGGTCCTGTTGGCTGGAAAGAAATAGACCTAGAACTAGAAAAAAAAAACAGCATCTCAAAACAGTATTTAAATGTATCAGTGTGCATAAAACATTGTGAATATCCATAGAATAAAAAGTTTTTCCATGCAGGGTCAGTTCTGAGTGCAGCTCCATGGTCATCACTGAGCCAGCCATCCTCACCCCTATGTCCAGTTTTTCTATGTCCCTCTTGTCGTTTTCACCTCAGCACAACACAGGCAGAAGAGGACTCTGGCCTCCACAGATTGCTAAAAATAGCTGCAGTTTTCTGCAGAAGTTGAATGAGCCCAGTACAGATGGCTCTGTCCTTTCCTGTGGAGTGTGTCCATATGCACAGACCAGTCCAACTTGTCAACAAGGTGGAGTCCCTGGTATTTATAGGTCCACCTCAGGTCCCTCAATGGACGCAGGTTGTAGGATTATTTCTTGTTTCAAACAAAGTCCACATCAATGCTACTGGTCCTGTTGGAAGTGTTCTGATGCAAATAGTTTGGTGTTCACACCATCACAAATGATATAGCTCAGAGTTAAAGTGGAAGTCCAAGGCGCACTGGCTGAACGAGAAAGGAGAGAGCACACAGTCTCCTGCTGTGCTCCAGTGCTGCTGACCACAGTGTCTGATGTGCATCCTTTCAGCTTGACACACCATGGTCTCTCTGTGAAATTTTATTTTATTTTTTCTACCCCTCACCAGCTGTGGGTCCATCCTAATCTCTGTCATCTTATCTCTCATAAGATATGAATGGAGGGTGTTGGAGCTGCTAAAAAAAAATCACAGAACACGATTTTCACGGCACCGGTTCCCCCCGTCCGTGTGAGGATACACACCTTAGCCTGAAAGCACCCGGTGGCATGTTGGTTGAGAAGAAATGACAGGTGCCTTTGATGAGGTAAAGATAAATGGTTCAGCTTGGTATAGCTAGTACAGTTGCAAAATACTTGAAATGATTTTTTTGTCAGTTACCTTGGGAAATTTGTTGGTCACCAGCAGATGGCACTTTTTTCGTTGGTGTATTTTTTAATGTTTTTTATGATTTTGGAGATAGATTTGTTTATTGGCAGAATAAAACAAGAAGTCTTTGATTAAAAATGAAATCAGCAGATGTGTTATAGAAACAATAACCGTAACAAAGCTATAACCTTGTTGAGGTTAGACAAAAAGCACAAGCTTGAATCCCACATCATACCTGTTTGAATCCGTTTTTTATAATCAGGTTAAGAAATCTGTAAATCAKTCTGACGTGAGGCTGATGAAACCATGAGGGCTTGTTGAAGTCGGGAAGCTACGTGAGAGTGTGTCTGACGCTACCAGGAGTAAGCAGTCTCTCCCTGAGACTTTCACACCCTGAGGTGCTGAGCTGCTGCATACAAGGTTGTTTACACTCTTCAAGGCTGCACACAGGCTCTGCCTCGGCCCTCATCTCTCACCCCCCACTCACACTTTTTAACTCCCTCGCAARTATCCTTGCCCACACATCACTGAC